TGATGAACCACCTGGAGCTAGGAGCAGATCATCGAAAAGACCACTTGAATCTGGTGCACATCCGCTGCTGATCACAGGCAAGTTGAACGGAGAACCAACCTCAGCCGATGCAACCACATTGGCAGCTGAATACATCGCCGGAGGGATGTTGAGCGAGGCACGTCTACTGCTCAAGTCAGTCTGTTTTTCGGTGAACAGAAAACAATAAATAATGGCCAAATGGTTTTTCGATTATTGTATTTAATGGTATTTTTTTTATACTTGACTTGAATCTGTAGAACATTAATAAGACCCCAATAAAGCTTCAGAAACATGCACTTAATTACATAAGCATCTATCCCAGGGATCAAGGTNGATCAAGATCATCAAAGTGACAGGGGTTGGTGGAAGCAGTGCTTTGCATTTTCCAGCAAATTCAAATGAAGAAGACAGAGGAAAGTCTTCATCCCACTGCTATCCTCACGCTAGCACACACAAAACATCAGTTATATGGGGTAAAAAAGCTCTAATCCTGCAAATCGACATCTATCCCGAGTCAAATGAACTGCTGAAATGAAAATTTTGATTTGCTCCTGGTAGGCACTATTCGCAGAACCACCCAGATTAATTTAGTGATTCATGATTAAGGTCATTCAAGAATCGTTGGCAAGTGCCGCCTAAGAAATATGACTACTAGTCGTCATTCACCATTGCGTTATCTCAACCACTACCATTCATAAATATGTTCTTCCATAACGAAGAGGGACTTCTAATTCGAAGACCTACCAGAGCACATCAACCGATAAAGGAGATGAGATTCTTTAGAAAATCCATCGGTCGCACCGGTGACTGTGTAAACCCACCACTGAGAACCACGGAATCCTAAAGAACGCTCACCGTTCAAAAGTAACGAGCGCAATCCGGGGCAAACCAAATGAATCACGCTGTGCACCGCGTATGTGCAACCTAGTTAAAAATACCCAGCGGATTAGTTGAGATAATATATTGGATGTACTCAGACAACACAGTATTTTGCAATAATCATCCTTCAAATGAATAAGCTAGTTACAGAAACCTTCGATTCCTAACTTTACTCGTCGATACACGCTAAAGGATCCTATGAATCGTTGACCAAAAAAAAGAGATACCATCCTTTTCGAACACAACAAAGTACCATGATTATTCACGTAGGGCTCACGGGTGCCCCCTCTCGTGACCGGATAATAGATCTTGGTTAACATGATGCTAACTCGCGCAACCGTCCACCACACTGAAGTATACAGTAACACAAAGTGAAATGGAAAAAGACCAACATCTGGAAACAAGTGAGGAGAAGCGTGGTACAAGCCACACACATTGCTGATGAACTGATGTTACCATATGAATCATTTGGATGAGAATAAGTGAAATTCGGAACAAGTACGATTTCGAAAAACAAAATGATGCCACTTCCTAAATAATGCTCTAATCAGCACAATATGCCTCAGCAAAAATAATAAACTGTGACTAGACAGATAGAGGGGGAACGCGAAAACAGAGCTTACTTCAAACCGCCGAATGGCTAGTAGTAGACTAATAAACAAATCAGCCAATGGTCCACATGGATCTGGATCTACGAGTGCTTGTTCCAACACTTGCCACGAAAGCAACGACCTGTTCGGACGTGACTTTGATGAGTTGGGCACGTACAAATCCAGCACAGAACCGAAATTGTGAAAAAACTCGAGCAGCTGGAGCGCCGCTCCGATTGAAGATGAAGGTAGACGAGTGGTAAACTGGAATGCGGGGTAGGGAAACAATGAAACAGAAGTAGAAATCACATGCTTGATGAAATGACTTCCTGATCGGACGTGGTTTCACCCCATTCCTGTGCCAGATTGTCCAAGTATTAGAATAACCTTTATCCAACCGAGCCGGAAATGAAGTTTCTGAAAACCTACACACTGCTGAGTGGAAGCTGATATGGTTGCTCTGAAAGGAAGTACTGAACCATTGTATGCAAGCCAAAAATAATACTTGGCTGGGCTTAACCGCCTAGTAAATACAGAAATTCCGATTGGTATGTTTCGTTCGAACCACATGCTCCTTCCAAACTGGTAGAACCAGCCATCATTATTCTCGATGTTCTCGATGTCAACCTTATCTAACGCAAGAGTAAAATGGGAACTGACGAGATTCCACGTTTTATAAGCATTTTTAAATTAACTCTAATGTCATTGAATTATGTACTTTTTTGGTATATTGCCTGTCTTGGGGTAAATTTCATGGAAATCCACGAGAAATATTCAGGTCACAGTCATTGGCATACACTGTCACACCGAACGAAATGGAGTGTTGGAGGTTTTGTCGTCAAAGTGCGTATCGATTACCTTAGTACCGTTCAACTTACCGTTGTTTTTCCAAGGCAGAGAATTTGCTATTGATGCGAGTTTTGTTCAAAGAAACCTTTCTCTAGCACGTAACAGTGGACCCTAGAATAGTTCAAAGTATTTAAATTGTTAGAATCATGGCCATTTTACTGATTGCCTGTGACATTGCCCTGCACCACAATGACCGGGGCGAAAAAAAAACAAAGTCCGAATAAGCGAACTTGGCACTTTAGACACAATCCAGGAGCATCATATTACAACCCCGATTTCTAGGCCGAATCAATTTTTATTTTTAATATATTGTGAACAATAGTGGAATGCCATAGCCTGGTGTATAAGATTGATCCACAAAACAAGTATGATGTCTGCAGCCAGTAAGTAGACAACTTGACACCATTTGACACATTTTCTCTAAATAATCAACATTGTCCAGAGCCCCCTCAGCATCATCACGATGACGAAATCGAAAACGAATCACGCTGTGGAGCATTCTCGGGTGTGAATCACATTTTCAGTCGGTCGTGTGTACGTGTCCGTATGCATGTCATGATTTGTGCAGGTCTTTGTACTTACCTCGCAGTGGTTCGGCGCGCGACCATGTTCAAAAGAATTAAGGTCATTCAATGAAAACGAAAATATCCAAATCCGAACTGTTGTTTATCAACAAACATTCTTCTCAATGGTGTATGAGACCGTCAACTTGGAGGTGAACGGTATGAAGGAAATGATATAAAAGTACTTCGCACATTGATGAATTTCAATCAAAAGAGATTCGCGAAGCTGAATGACCCGGCGCATCGTGCTTTTTTTGTTTTGTTCAGGAACATCTCGGCCGGTATTTCGCTTTAATTTTAATTAAAATTGGACTGAATTATGCAACCATTTTATTCCTTGCTTTTATTTGCCTGTTCACCTCTATATGAATATCCTCAGTATTATTTTGCTAAGCGGTATATTTGACTGAATGTTTACTACTTAACACATCTAATTAGATTGTCGCTGATTGTATTGTATTGTATTTGTAACTTGTGTAGGCATGTATGCTTACATTTCAATTAAAAATGTACACTGTTCGTCACGCAGAATGAAATTCAAAAAAAATAAAAACAAAAGGTTAAGAATGTCGGTGATATACATTATGTACAAAGCATTTGACGTAGTTCATTTGATACCTGTTCTTTTTGGTAAGTAGTCGGGCCAGGTAGGGTACAGGGGAATTTTTATAAATGTTAATGATTGTGTGCATTGCTCAAACCCAGCTCTCGAAACGCTGATCGTTTACACTTAATCGGATTCATGTTTAAATTCACGAGGGTGTCAAACTTTGACAACAGCTCACCCGAGTAAATGTCTGATTCGTTCCACACGGACGTATGCTTAACAATTCTTCTTCTTCGGCTATAGGCTATAGGAATTTATAAGTAGTAAGGAGAAGAGTAGACGGCCGCCGGTTTGGAATATGGATTATGATCACTTCTACAACCGTGCAGAGAGTGGAATAGTTTCAATTTTCCTTTGCTTGGTCTATTGATAACTACTCATCGAAGCACTTTGTCAGGAGATATAGGACTGAACAAAAAAGCCGCACATTTGGAGCTTTTTTGTTTGGGTTTGTATTTCCAAAACTTTCGTGCGCATAAATATTTATTCGTATTCTCTTCAAAGCTTTGTGACGGCAATCGTCGTAGAAGACAAGAACGGCAAACTTCAGGGTATTTCCGAATACAGAAAAAATAGCCCATAGATTGTGACCAGAGCACAATGCAATTGTTGTGCAGATAAGAGAGCATTTTTTTAACAGTTGAGATTTTGTGTATTATATTTTGAACGGAAGCGAACAATCAGGTCAATATGTGGAGGAATTAAACCCATTTTGACAACCACAAGCGATCGACTGAATTTATGTGAGGAATCTATTTCGATTTCAATGAAAAGGTCTAAAACGTAACCAAAAAGGTTAACCTTCAGATAATCTCACACAGGCGCGTTTCAATCAAAACGAAAGAAAATGAAAATCGAACAACAATTTTGAACATGGGCGACGTATTCCCTTCACAGGAACTCAACTGACCACGGCTTCCCAAAGAAGTAAACTCAGTCAATTGTTCAGAATTTCACAATTAACTACCAGCAAGTTATCAGTAGTATAATTTTTTAAACTGAAATAAAACCGAGGTTGTTCGGAGGACCAACGCGTACGGGCTTAAATTTGCCACTTTAGAAGGGACTGCGAAAATCAAGTATTACTACAATCAATATCGGTAACTTCGCAGACCAATCAATCTATTTTCGATAAGTACATCAGGAACAGTTTACGACTCTACTACCCTTTATTAGCAACCAGAGGCGAAAAGTCAAATCCAGATAACCCAAATGTTGGCCACTTATGTATGGATGAACGCTACACTACACAATTGACGTGGTGTGATGCTTGCGGGCCTCCATGTCCCTGTAAGCTATACAGGATGGCTTCTCACAGCTGCAGATTCAATCTGAGGTGATAGTCAATGGGTAGAGGCCAGAAAAAGCTCAGTCTCACAAAGCCGGCTAATCGAGCACCTCATGGCTTCCTTTTTCTATCCACTCTCGCCCCTGGAGGTCACTCCAGCAAAGAAACACGAGGAGCAGTTTATTGATGAAAACCCGTTAGATGGACGTAGGAGTGAGTGGTGCTTCCTCCTGATGGTGAGAGAAGTCTTCGCACTTTATTGGACGGTTACCACCCGCCCAGACTGGGCAGTCCACAGNCAGCCAATAAGGTGCTTGCCTGTCCACGTTCCGCTTGCCTTGATGCACCAACAACCAACGTACCGGCAAACAACACAACCGAAACCTGAAGAGCTATCGTGACAGGTCTCAGGAAATTCCTACACCGGTGCTTCAGTCACGCGTTGGATTTACTCCTCGCTGATTTATGGATCAAACTTTTCGGTCGAAGACTCCGGTTGAGGTTCCTCAAAAAAGCCGCTTCGTCGGTGGTCTGCTGTAAAGTATGTCCCAAGATCTTAGGTACCCAGTTGGACCTCTTTCCCATTGCCCAGATCCTTCTCTCGATCCCAAATACCTATTTTTGTATCATCCATGAAATATCAATCAGCGTTCAACTAGTAAGGTCAATCAACCAGTTTTCGAAACCAAAATCTCTTCATTTAGCCGCATTTAGTGTATGCATAATCTACCAGATCGGTCAGAAAACTGTCTTCGCCAGAACCCTTGAAACATTCAATCTACATTGTATCTTGAAAACACGCATACAATACCCCCATTTATTCTCCTGACCCAACCTCGACCTCACGCTTCAACCTTTGTGTGTCAGCATCCGACAACCATAGTCTTCCTGGTCATAGGATTGCGCTAAGTACCAAGATTGAGCGCTCGCTTCTTGGCTGGAATCCAGTCAGTAGCCGACTGGGCGCTGTACGTCTCAACGGTTCAGTACGGATCAACAGGTACAAAACGAAGTACCGATGCTTCTTCGTCGCATCCGTGTATGCATCGACCGATTGCAGTACACCTGAAATCAAGAATGAATTCTACAAGGACCTTTCTCTATTACTCTAAAGTGCTCGGTCAACGGACGACGTAGTAGACGCCGGAGACTTAAATGCTCAAGTGGGAACACGGGACGAAGCAAAAAAGGCATCCTGACAGACCACAAGCAATCCCAGCCAACCTGACGGAGAACGAAAATCGCCTACTTCAGTTCTGTGCAGACCACGGATTGTTCCTGTCAAACATCAACTTCTCGCACAACAAATGACATCACCTTAAGCGAAAACCGCCTCCCTCTCCACAGCGATGGACTCAAATCGATCACACCACCATGAGTTATTATACTCCGGTCGATCGTCTGCGGAACGTCGGGATTGAACGCGGGAGAAGCAGCCTGGTTTTAGACATAGTAGAGGTTGTATCGACCACATCTTCACTCTTCGTCAAATTCTGAACCACCGACACCCTTTTCGTAGACCCATCATATCTGTCTACCTCGATCTGAAGGCAGCTCTCGACTCAGTCGATCTCTCTAAACTCTGGCGCCGCCTATCCGAAAACTGCGCCCCAGAAGTTGATTTAAATTTTGTGATCCCTTCATACTAACAGCCGTAGCGGAATCCGAGCTTGCGGCACTGTTTCACCCGAGTTAACCACGGAAAGTGGTGTTCGTTAGGCGTGCCCTCTCTCTCCGTTTCTACTGACTTGGACATAGATTTAATTGTTGAAACAGCCCTACCCTCGTGCGAGGGTAGCGGCGTCGATTTGCTCCCTGGTTTTAGACTGTCTCATCTGAAGTATGCAGGCAACATTGGGCTGCGAGCTTTTCTGGGTAGCTTGAGTGTCGGCGTAGCCACGTTTTTGTGTGCGTTTTGTACCGTCAAAGTTTAAAATGTTACTGCAAAACTGGGTTGGCCCAGCACTCCAGCCTCATTGTAACTGGGGAAGGAGTAGAGGAATAGAACAAATTTTGTTATTTGGGCAGCTATAAATCACCAGATGGACGCATAACGGACGAAGTGATAGCTCACATACAGAAGGCTCGGTTGGCATTAGCCAACTTGAAACATCTATGATGTAGCCGCGACGTCAGATTGTCAGTGAAGAGTCAAGAGTATTATGCGGCAGTTCGGCCAGTATTGATATACATCGGAGAAACTTGACCATTAAGAAAAAAGGATAAAGAAAAGATAAAATGTCAGTGTTTGAACACCGTCATTTACGCAGCATTCCACGAATCTGGTGGGGTAATCGGACAATTAATGCTGAGGTTAGGTGCCCGGGTTTAGGTAACGGCGATCACCCACTGGAGGCAGTGGTCGACCTTCATAGATTACTTTGGTTGGGACATGTGTTACACATATCACGAAATACGTTGATAAGGCGGTGGTGTTTGTCGAGACAGGTAATGGATGGACGATAATTTAAGGGACCTGGCAAGGAGTGTAGAAACCCCAATCGGGAAACTTGCTGACATAGGTCATGTCCGGCATCCAAGGTGACCTCGGGTTCAGTGTATTACATGGTTTGAAACACTGAGTAATATTGCTGACAGTGATAAACGATGCACCCGCTCAATGTCTCAATAACTGTAGCCCGCCTCAATTCTGTATTTTTACCCGCACTGATTTGAACACTTCGATCTTATTTTTTACTCCATCATTCAAATGGGCAGTTCAATAAGAGCAACCAAAATCGCTGCACGAAAGTGTATGTTTAATGATAGTAAAGCTGAAACTCAATCCATTTGAGGGGGTTAAATTTATCTGTGATCATCAACAGACATGGGGTCCTTCATGGGACTGGTCGACACTGTGTACTTCTTTTATCCTCGCAGAATCAAACTGTGAACTCTCGGGTTAACATCCAAACCCCTTACTCCTGAACCACAAAGTCAAATCGGTAATGACAAAAGTGAAATCCTAACGACTTGTATGTAATGTGATGCCCAGTAGCTGTGAAATTGAAGGAATTAATCCGTAATCCGTCGATGGACAGATAACCAATTCTAATTTTGCCCTCTCGGCTGACTCCAACTAGTCTGGCCTGTCACGCCTGTCGCAAATTCAATTGGCATCAATTAGAATAACAAAAATCTAACTAATAACACGATATTCAAAGTCGAAAAAAGAACTTCATTTGTCAGAACTTATCTAGATGAAAACAGCAAACATTGAATGAGAAACTGATAGTTTTCTGTCTTTTGTCGTCGCTTATACCACACATCTGATGAGATGCAATCAGGTTGCACAAGTTTTCACATCACCTGAAATGACGTGCCAATGCTGATAATGCGGTAAAAGTGAACGAATTTTTCAATCACTCGTCTAGCTCCGTGTATCTTCCATCATCAGAAGTAACACATTTCTGGTCGTAAGATACTGTTACTAACTTAGGTAAAGGTCATGATGATGTTCTCGTTTAGCCATTTCTGGCCTATCGCACGCAAAACCGTGCACACTTGTACAAGTCACAATAGCAACAAATTGGTGGCATATCATGAGAACAAAATAAAAGCTTCACTGTGTCGCATGGAATTCACACGTAACGAGTTCACTAAATGACAAACCGGGTAGATCACTTACGGGAGACAGATCTGGCAGAGGGACCAAATCAGACAACTCCAAATCCTCGCGTCGACGGACAGATAACCAATCACGTTCCAATTTCGCCCTCTCGGCTCGCTCCAACTGTTCCTGCGTCATGCCTGACATCAATTAGAATAATAAAAATATAAATAACAACAAGAGTCATTCCATTTAGAAATCGATCTAACAGTTGACAAAAAAACCTGTTGCCTCCTGAAATTATCACTTTTACAGAACTTTTATCAAAGAAGCGTCTACTTGACCAGCTGACTTGATTTAATGCAGCTTCGCCATCGCTTGGTTTAATATTGTATCGAACGTACTGAAGCCATAGTTGATGTTGTACTCAAAGTTGAATAGTCAGTTCCCAGTACCGAATGTCATTAAAACCGTGGGATGTAGTTCACTGAGTGCGCACTACACCAAAATGATGGCGGTGGTCCAGTGGTTTAGTCGCTATCATCGATATGCTTTGGACCTTATGGTCCGAGGTTCGAACCACCAACTTTGGTGGTAGGCAGCTTCATTGTCGTCCCGTTCAAGGGCACACTTGTGCTGATGACGTCACCTCTACTGGTGATGTAACGTTTGCAAACAAATTGCAAATGGGCAAATGGAAGCGATCAACGTGTCCACTTTCATGGGTGAAGATGTTCATACACTCCACTACACTGGGTTTCACTCGTAATCTCCTCCAAATGTCTCTTTANTATATATATATATATATATATATATATATATATATATATATATATATGCGTAGACTTCATGAGTTTCGAATTCAACAGTTGATTATCTCCAAATTCGGGTACTAGAATGTTTCTTCGTCTTTCTTTACTGTTTACCTGCTATCTTTTCTTATCTCCTTAAACGAAGACTGGGAGTTGTTTCGACATAAACTGATTGCCATTGGCCATACTCCTTTAATCCCACAAGAGGAGTTGATCACCATTATGTGCAAACGTTATTTGAGTGCATGTGAAAACTTTGCGCATAGAATTCGCAGGAATCCCACTCTCTTCCACTGGACGACGGTTCGATTTATTGTAGTGCTCCTCCCCGTTTGGTAGATACCGTTGTGTGCTACCTCTCGCATAAAAATATAAGGTAACTACTTAATGGTGCCCCTTCTTAGAACGTATGCCGGTTAATGAATCACAGTTTTCGTTGATTTAAAAACTTCCAGACCTAATTAGGTTATCTCTACTAAGTCCATATTTGAATGAAACGTAGACACAACGGTCACACAAGTGATAATTACAATGCAATGCCAAGGAACTGGTGTGGTGGTCGCTGGATTTGGGAATGAGGAAAACCATAGAACTCTTCCAGAAATAAAGGAACGTGCAAATCTGAGCGAGGTTAGTAATGACCAACAAATTCTCGATGAGATGGAATTAACTCTCTCTCTCTCTATTACACAATGTGAATAATGAACAAATCATCAATGTTCTCACTTTCATTATTATAGGTATTGAGTATACAAATGTACAGGCAACTTTTGGGAAGGAAGTCGCGGTCATACAAAAGATGTGCAGAAACTACAGAAATGAGAAAACCAGACAGTGGCGGAATTGGAACAGAAAAGTTGGGTCGCTTTTTTGATTGCCCCAACCACACGATCACCACCACTACAGTAAATGGGAAAATCCTAGTGGTCCAGAAACACATAACAGGGGAAGTAGAGGAACATATACAAAGGATCCAGTTTTCTGATTGTGCACTTGAGAAGTGAGAGTGAAATTTGAAAACAGCTAGGCAAAATAACACATGAAAGATCATGCACAAACTTTATCAGTTCAGTTCAGGTTTTACATCTATTAACCATACACTTTCGTGCGACGGTTTTGGTTGCTGTCTTTTGGATAAAAGAGCAAATACTGTCGGGTTTAGCAGAGCTGAATGCTACTAGGCGCGTCCCTGGGTTGTGGACAGGGGGATATCTTCACCGAAAGAGGTTACCTGTGAATAAGTTGTGGAGTACCGAAACAAATAAGCAGTTGCGAACAAACAGCGGCGGCACTACCAGGGTGCGGTGGGTTTCAGGCTGGTCACCGGGCTCCTGTTCAAAAACCGCATAAGCCCAATGACGATGTAGTGACAAAAGTCGATGTGACTGGCCTTTTAAAACTGAAGTCATTGACCCCCTCACTTCCGAGGCGAGGGATTACTTCCTGCTTCTTGCAGTTTCGCACTTGGTTGTGCAAAGGATAGAGGTGCGCCCTCAAAATAAAAAACGCCGAGTGACGCTGGTGACGTCTTTGGTACCAAACTCCCAAGGAACTTCATGATCATGTCTGGAACCGGTTATCCTTTCCAAGGAGCTAGCTGCAGTCAAGTAAAGTAAAAGTAATCCCGTTTTATCAACACAATATGTGGATGGACTATGCCACTGAACTCAAACACTCCAGGGATGTTAAATATCCCAACTGGTTATCTGATTTAAAAAGGCAACAGACATGGTGATGAGTAGACTGTATCGGAATACCCAAAGTGACAGAGATGAAAACTTTTCACGTATTCTTTGCTTAAATCTACAGACACCAGCACCTGTGTACGGTGTATTGGTGTGGGTCTCACTCCTTGGGAGTTTGTTTATTCCGCGCAATCCAATGTACGATGAACACGACGGAACTTTGTAAGTGACAGCAAACAGAGTAGTGGGCTAGGATTTGGTTCTCGTTGAGACTCATCCACCGTATGTGATCATCAACATACAGGTGAACAGCCGGCTTTGATAAACGAAAATCAACTATAACATTGCACAGATACGAGCAATCCGCGGTGCAAAACAAAATGGGACTGTCTCAGTGACAAAACTTCAGCGGGAGATATCGGAAAAACAAAAAAAATAGTCACCTGATGTGGAGGCACTACAATCAGCACGCCAGGTATTGGATGCAGCCGAATTACCATTTGATTCCACAGATCCGTCTGTATTGCATGATTTCGGAAAGGACTGTTTCCGACCGGTCGGTGTATGTGATGTGTGTGTGTGTGTGCAACCTTGCATGCTGGGGGAATTTAGTGAAGTGGCTGTCATGGGAATAATCTGATCTACGGGTCGGATCTGTGATTGAGCACTCGAGTCCGAGGCAGATAATGTCAGTGAAATATCTATCGGAACAAAAGAAAATAAAACAAAAAAATGATGACAGAAAAAAGCACACCATTAGAAATACATATCATGCCACAAAATCATTTTAACTCAACGGGCAATGCTGGCAAAATGAAGGTTACTATCTTTCCGACAAAGTACTCCAGAAGAGGCAAATGAACCAACCAACCGGTTACCGGCTCAGCCAGAGCAATGCTGCCGTCTTGTGGTTCGCGCTTAGTTGCGCAAAGGCTAGGATGCACTCTTGAGCAAGGCTTATTCTGGGCTGGGCCGTCGACAACAATAAGTTTAGACACAGTACACACGGATGCAGAAACCCTTGGTCTCCGTTTCATCTATGGCAATCGCCAATGGAATTCAAGTGGGATCACAACTTGCCGCCGACCACCGAGAGTGAGCAGCTGCAATGCGAAATATCCAAGAATCTGACTTGTCCTCTCCCAGCCGCCGTAGGGACAATGAGTGAAGACAGGCTCCGGCCAGTCCCAAACAAGCACCAGAATTGAACAAGAGTACTGTGTCACCTTGCTCACAACTGAAAAATCCCGATGAATATCACTACAGAATGTTCGTAAGAAGTGAAAATGGGAAGTTTCGGGAACGAAATACGATTAAAATGTGATTCAAAAAGTTTTCATCTACAAAACCTAGTTGAGAGGACAGGTATTTGTACGATTTAAATGTAGGCATTCAAAGGGCGGGGGGGTATCGGTGCGTGGACGAGAGTTGAAATGAATAAAAAACAGTTTACTTACAAAACTCAATCAGTTCCTGCCAATTCGGTTCTGGAGCAAGGTACAGATCTCGCCAAGTTAGTGGACCATGAGGAAATAAACCGTAGCGTTGGAGAATAGGGGTCTAGAAAATAGGTATGAGGATACATAAGGGTAAATGGAATCTCGAGTTGAGTAAACCCACTGTCCAACAGAAAAGTTGACCAGATTAATTAGTTCACTTCAAGGGCTGAAAGTCTTAGGAAATGAATGGCGAATTGCGTTCGATGAAAGAAAGAGCAACATGCTCTCCAAATGTCATTTGGGAAGTCCATGAAACAAAAAAACGATCTTAAAACAAGTGTGAACAAGTGTCTATGAGATTGCGTGGACATCCAAATTCAAAATGGAAACTGATAATTTTACTCACTTGTCTACGACGCTCTTCAATATCCTTTTATAAACAATGTCTTTTCTAGGAGCGTCAGACGTCACAAGCCATCACGACGAGACTACACCTTGACGTGGTGCGATGGTTTGTACACCTCTGTGACCCGAGTTACACAGGATAGCTTTTGTCAAGCCAGACCTTATCATGCCTGGAAGGACAATGGGTAGAGGTCAGACAAAGTTCCAGGTTGGTGGTTCGCCGGGAATTTGCGTTTCAGTCGATAAAAAGCTCTGGAGGAGTAATCGATCCAAGTAAATGGGCCTCCACTTCGCCTCAACCGCTGTCTCGAGATTAGGTTCTTGTTAGAACTAAAGGCTTTGGACGAGAACGCTAATCGTTCTCCTGCTTAGTGGCTGGACACCCTAGCAGTACCTCTTCAGCAAACCCCAATGCATACACAAAATAAAAATAATTTCATAATGCATCGGTCGTTGCGCAGGATGATCAGGACCGCGCTGCCCATTGCATCGAGCGAGGTGGGTAACGATAAGTGGGCTGGTTACTGCTGAGATATACCAACCTTTAATTAACTCTTCAGCTTCCGTTCCCAACACTATTTCTTTACCCCTTCTACCGACCGGTAATAGTCCCTGAAGCAACTCGAATGTCGCTCGTCAAAGGTTATTGCCAAATAGCACTGTAAGTGATTTACCACGGAATGGGTTACAGATCCTAAGCCTCGCCAATCATTGAATCTGGGGGCCTTCAACGTGAGGACGTGATGCAGCTAGGTCAACAAGCTTGTCTGGCTCGTACGATGGAATCCTGAGGAAGCAATATTTGCTGCGTGTCGGAAACTCGGATCCAGGATCCCACTGCTCTAAGCCACTTGAGCGCCCCAGAT